TGTGAACTTAGAAGCTCATGAGCTCCAGCTCAGCGTTGGTTTTTCAGGTGTCTCCTAACAGACTGGTAGCTGCCACTGGTCCCGTTTTGTTAGGAACCATCGCATTGATCAGTAGCTGGCCATGCCGGATCATCAAGGTTCTCTTTGAGTTCGTGATTTGCTTGCTCAGCCCAACTGGGGGATCTAGCAGGTGCATACGTGCTCGGTAGTAAGCTCGCACCCAGAGATGGGTGTAACATCCCAGGACCAGGTATACGATTTTTAGGGACTTAGAATAGTTTACAGCGGTTTAGAGAATAGGCTTAGGATGGAGAAAATGGATTTTAGGCAATGGAAACCTATGGACCGGTCCGGAAAAAGGTAAACGGACCTCCTACAATTAAAAGGGGAAGAAAACCCTAATTTTCCCTTCAGGAAGAAGGGAAAAACGTGGTGAAGAAGGGGAAGTCTAGTGGGCTTAGCCCGTGTAGTAAGGAGGTGGGGAAAAATAAGAAAAGTGAATAATCTCTAGGATGATTTTCGTGGGGTATTTTATAAGGAGCTAGAGAGCTCATATTTTACACACCAAAATCATTATTCTCTACCATAGCCAAAGGAAAACGCTCAGGAAGGAAAAATCGGAGAAGCTTGAGAAGGAACTCAGCAGCCCAGCCCCGCGGTAGAGAAGGTTCACGGTTGAGGTAAGGCGCGATCCGTACCTAACTTTCCTTTCTAGTCTTTTCTATATTGCTTCCATAGAGTGGTCCCCTGAGATACGTTGACAATCAAGAAATCTAGGGCAGTCCGAGGAGGTGGGCTGCGTGCCATAAATGGTGTTCTATAAAGCCATGCCTCGTCGTCAGTCCGTTGTCCGTTCGATCTATTCAGCTCTGATATTTGCGAAGCAAAATCAGCTCGATGTTGATCCATGTGAGCAGCGATACTGCGAGTTAAACTTTCCTGCCTCCTTGTAATATCCACCAAGGAGCTCAGGATGCTTCGAATATCTGCAAGAGCCAAAGGGAAACGCTCCGTACCTAACGCATCCGTACCTAACTTTCCTTTCTAGTCTTTTCTATATTGCTTCCATAGGGTGGTTAGGTAGTCATGGGTAGTAGTCGAGGATGTTTGGTCTGGATATGGGATCCAGGCTAGAGACTTGGCAAGAGTAGAGTAGTGGCAGAATTCCACTTGACCACGGTCAAGCACGAGAGTGTCTCGTGGATGGCGAGGAGCTGCGGTATGGGCACAAAAGGTTGCCGCATACCGTTAGGCCACCAGTCTAGATGCATAAGGCCTTATTGATGGAAAGATAACATTGGCAAGGCCTCGGGGTGCCTCAATGAGAGTCTCAATCCGGATAGTTGTGCCACGTCTTGATGGTGTCGGCATGGCCTCGGGGTGCCTCAATTACCTTTGACAAAGCACTAGTACGGGTAAAATATACCGTACCACGATAGACAGCGTGATCGCATCATGACTGAGCGGTTTAGGGCTACGCCAAATCGGGCATCATGTTGTGTCAAGGTGAATCCTCATGCCGGAAGGAAATCGATAGCGCCACGGTGGAGCCTTAGTGAGTAGAGCGATGGTGCCTATATAGAGTATCGGTAGGCACATCGTCAGACACAGGACCGGACCGGCAAGCCTTAACCGACGGTGTAGTGGCAGAGCATCCGGTTGGGTCAAAAAGGATCCAACTAAGGGCTCGTAGGTGAAGGCAGACAAGGAGCTTGGCAAGGTTGGGAACCTTGACAGGATACTTAGTCTATTCACGCTGGGCTATGGGACATGATACATGCGCTATGAGCTTCGGGCATGAAATTCAACCATAGTCTCGAAGAAACTTGATCGGCCTTGGCAGATCAAGAGTGACTCGTTACTTGGTGGGTTGAAGGAAGGCTGTGGTTTGTATGGGCGGATCATAGTTAGAGATCAACTCACAATCATATCGTTAGGATTGTTTAGGAGGTGACTCTTGGCTAAGCTATACCCTACCAAGGGAGCTACCTTGGACCGAATGAGAAGTTAGTCCAGGAAGCCGAAAGGTAGAAATACTAGTTGATCGTTGAACCTTGGAAATAGAGCTATGGTAGAGCTACCGCTCCAAGGAAGTAAGTTCTACCCGATGATTCGCTTGTTTGTAGGATCCGGCAATCTACTAGAGATTGTTGTGAACCAGGTAGGAAGCTATTCGGATAATCCAATGGTTATACTAGTACTACCTTAGCTAACCCGACGCATGGTTGTAAATAAGGTCTGGTGAGAGAAGAGTCAAAAAGGGTTTGTCGAACCTAAGTGAGATGGTTACGGTCAAGGGGATAGAGGACAAACATGATATCACTTGGACCGTAGAACAAGTTGGTGTCATGAGCTATCCACAATTAACGGATAATCTTATGTGTGTACTTCTGCAGGGATGGCTACCGTGTGGCCATAGATGTGTCATGGATAACGTTATGGGATAGCCATGCTTACTTGGGGCTGACCATACGGGGCAAAGATATTGTGTGAAATGTTTCGACTATTGATTGAGAACGTAGAAGAGTGGATTAGGTGAAAATGGAATAGAGAATTATTGTGAACCTTAGGAGAGTGTAGAGTAGAATGCATATTAACCGGTAGGCTAGTAGGTTCACAAGGCCACATATACATTATTGCATAAGGGCGGTTGTATGGGCAGCCGTCACCGACTTGTTTGTGTTTGGCCTGAAAAAGTGGCACGAAGACCTAGTAGACAAGAACTACTGGAAGGGCTCCGGGAGTCAATGGAGGTTCACCCTACGGTGAAGAATATGTTGTGGAAAATCTATCGACGGGCAGAATATAAGGTTTGGGTAAGTTCGGAAGAGAATAGAGTTCTTCTCTCTTGTGTTGAATAGTGGAGTCTGGGACTCCCGTAAATATATATGTATATTATGTAAAGTATGGAGGTTCGGGCAAGACCGGAAGAGGAATGGATTCCTCCGTCTTGTGTTGAATAATAGAGTCTGAGACTCTTGTGTATATGAGCACCAAGGGAAGTACGATAACACTTACTTGGCTATGAGGTAAACGCATGGTGCCAAGGCTCATGTGGTAGTAGTGTGGTTAAGGGTAGATAGGTTATGTTAGGTCGTGAGACGGAGTAGACCGTCTTACTGAGTATTCAATACTCACCCCTTTACCAGACTTACAGGATAGGAGATCCGGTTTGGTGGCTCATAGGATGCGGCAGATGCGGTAGAGGCTTTCCTAAGGCGTGGTAGTTTTAGAGTTCCCGCATTGTAATTTCACCGCACAATGTAATAAAGAAATTTTAGAGTAATGAGATAACTAGTTTGGCAATATTTTGCAATGGGATTCATAGTCCCTGATGCGGGTGTTACAAGTTGGTATCAAAGCTCGGTTGTCACCCCAGTTCTGACCTGGGGACAATTATAAGATTTCTGGGGACTACTTGGAAAACGGACCTTGGAAACCGACTGCCCTCCGCCTACCGCCTATGAACACCCTGGTAAGTTAGGACTAGTAATTTAAAACTCCCTTTTCTGTATAGATGACTACAAGAAGAAGGAATGTTGTTCCAGTAGCGGGTGCTGCCAACCCGGCCGCAAATGAGGAGGAAGTACAGCCACCCCACCCGGGGCACCAGACCCACCCCGGCTGAGCCTGTAGCCCCAGTAGAGGCTACAACGCCACCAGTAGATCAAGCAGGGATCAATGCAGCCCTCTTACATGGGCTCCTAGACATAAGAACTCTACTAGAAAACGTAATCGGGCAGCAAGGACAAGGAAACCCAGCTGCACCAGGGCATGGAAACCCTGCCGCACCAGGCCAACCGGTTGCGCCAGGGCATGGAAACCCTGCCGCACCAGAGCAACCGGTTGTGCCCATGGAAACCCTGCCGCGCTAGGACCACCAGGTGCACCAGAACAAGAAAACCATGCTGCACTAAGACAACCAGCTGCACCAGGGTTTGTCAACCCCCAACCCCCACCCCAGAATCCCCAAGCGGGTGGATGGCCTCAAATGGAATGATCGCCCACCTACTGGGAAATTCTGAGGGTGATGAGGGACATGGACACAGGTACCTTCCTTGGCAAGGGAGCCAAGCCAGTAGAA